GAGTAAGTACTGGCCTTCCACCCTGGCCTAGGCTGCTCCTGTCCCCAGGGCTCATGTGCAAGCGGAGGGGTCCCCACTGGTCATCTCGTGCCCTGACTCTGAGGACAGGTAAGGGCAGAGCTGGGCTCCCCCAGACAAACAAGCAAGAGGCAGCATCACACAGGGTGGTGCAGAGCCTCAGCTCCTGTGGCAGGATCCCAAACCAGCCTGCACTATCTTTTGGTCTCTGTTTCAAAAAGCTAAGAAACTTTCCTCCAAAGATGGGAAAAAAAAAAAAAAGCTTCCACTTCTGAAAATAGCCTACCTGGCTCCCTTGCACTGTTTCCACAGCAACCTACACCTTCTTAGGAGCCACCAGTAGAAAGAGGGCCCTGGCCAGTCGAGGGTACCCAGTGGCTTCTCAGCCAGCTCCAGCTATTTCAAGTCCAGAAGAGCCCTGAGAGGAGTCAGGGAGAGCCCACTAAACAAACAGGGGCTCCCTCTCGTTCTAAGCCTCTAGAATTTGAAGTAAACTCAAGATAGTTACATGCAAAAGTGAGCTGTGTCAATGGACAATGACAGAGATCTTGCAGGGCCAGGGGCCTAGGACTCTAGCATGTGTTGGCCACACACTGGGTGGAAGAGGAATTGTTACTTACCTCCATGTAAGGCCCTTTAACCTAGGCTATGAGAAGTCAGAAGCAGGATTATGTGGCCCACCCGAGGCTGCTGCCTCCCTGCAGAGAACCTGGCCAGGCTTCAAGGTATAGGTGCCCGGCTTTGAGGTGAGGGCAGAGGAGCTTGTGAGATACTTAAGAAGGAGTCTTAGTGATCAAATAGAGAGCATCAAGGGACCACTGTCCTGGGCAGTAAATCAAATTGTAATGGTGAGCCATAAAGTGAGACGGTCACGTGGTGTCACGGCCAAACAACGGTTTCCCAAGAGGACCTGTGAACGTGTTACTTTATATGGCAAAAAGGACATTGCAGATGTGATTATGTTAAGGATCTTGAGATGGGGGATTATCTTGGATTAGTCAGGTGAGCCCAATATAATCACAAGATTCCTCCTAAGAGGAGAGGCAGGACGATCAAAGAGAGATGAGAGGTTACTCTGCTAGCTTTGAGGATAGAGGAAGGGGCCCTGAGCCAAGGAATGAAGGCCAGCTTCCAGAAGCTAGAAAAAGCAGAGAAACAAATTCTCACCTAAAGCCTCCAGAAGGAAGGCAGCCCTACCCACCCCTGGATTTTTAGACTTATTTACAGAACTATGAGATAGTAACTGTGTGTTGTTTTAAGCAACTACCTTAGTTTCCAAGGGCTGCCATAGAAGTTACACAAATTAGGGACTTAAAACAATGGAAATTTATTCTCTCATAGTTCTGGAGGCCACAGGTCTGAAATCAAGGTACTGGTAGGGCATGTTCTCTCCAAGGGCCCTGCAGAAGAATTTGCTGCTTTCTCGTAGTTTCTGGTATGGCCAGCAACCCCTGGCATTCCTTGGCTTGTGAATGCATCACTTCAATCTCTGCCTCCATCTTCATGTCTCTGTGTCTTTTCTTCTCTCTTTTAAGGATCCCAGTCAAACTGGATTTAGGGGCGCACCATATTCCAGGATGGCTTCTTCTTAACTAATTGCATCTGCATCGACTCTGCCAAGAAAGGTTATATTCTAAAGTTCCAAGAAGGATGTGAATTTGAGGGGAGACACTGGGAAACCTAGTACAGCCACTAAGGGTTAGGAACAGATATACTGGCTCCGTACCTGTGGCTCAAGCGGCTAAGGCACCAGCCACATACACCTAAGGTGGCGGGTTCGAATCCAGCCCAGGGACAGCTGCAACCAAAAAATAGCCGGGCGTTGTGGCGGGTGCCTGTGGTCCCAGCTACTTGGGAGGCTGAGGCAGAAGACTGGCTTGAGCCCAGGAGTTGGCGGTTGCTGTGAGCTGTGATGCCACAGCACTCTACCCAGGGGGACAGCTTAAAGCTCTGTCTCAAAAAAAAAAAAAGAAAGAAACAGATATACTTGGAGAATTACCATGGATTAAAGGCCACAGCCAGACTGATGGCCCAGCCAAGATGGATGAGCTTTGTCCTTGTAACACATTGGTGATCTCAGTATTATTGATTTATTGTCTTTTAACAAGAAAGAGAATTTGGTTTTCCATGTAGTTTGTGACAATGGATGAGTATTTTAGGAATCAGGGTTTTTCTAGAGATAGTTGCGTCTGTAATAGGGTGGGGCACTTATTCTGCAGTCATTTGCTCAACATGGTCCTGCTGTCTCAAAGCTGTCCTGTACCTTATTTCCCAGTCCTGTGCCTGGCTTGAAGGTTGACATCAATTGCTCTTTCAGTGCCCACAGTCTGGAGCTTCTATTTGTTTTTGTCACTTTAACCAGGGAGGCCCAAGAGCACCACTGGCTGAGGGATGCACCATGAGACTCAGAGAAGTCATTTTCCTTAGAAGGCATAAGTCCCATTTGGCCTTGAGCTGCTTCTGGACAGGGGCAGAGTCAGCTTTCCGTCTTCCACACTCAGATGTCCCAGTTTTAGAAACCACATCCTGTGCAGATGGCAGAGCAGCTCACTGGGATTTTCATCGGTTGCATTTCTGTGAACATTTGATCTGTACATGAGAAGTGTGCCAGGAACAGCTGTGCATAGGCACTGGCTAGAGCAAGGCCTGGGGAGGGGCAGGCAGAGTTCAGAAGGATGGCCCTGCAGCCCTGCTGGGAGGCACAACGGGGAAATGACTGGCTCTCTGCAAAGCAGTAGGATGGGGAGGCAGAAGATGCTGGTGCCTCCCGCTTGGAGACCTGAACTTGAACCTTAAAGAACTGCTTACTAAGGTGTACTGTTTAATGTCAACTTCAACATTCCCTAAGAAGTGTGATCACCTGCTTCTACCTGCCACAGAGGGTGCTCAATGTGGGCTAGTTGTGCCTCTCTCTCCCCAGCTCTTGCACCTGTGGGGCCCTCCTGGTGCAGCGCCAGTGGCCATTCTGAATGGTCAGTGGCTTGCCATTCTTGTTGTTATGCATATTGAACCTGAGAAGGTGACACGTGCCTCAGTGACAGAGGTTTTAAGAGCCCAGGCTCTGGGCTCGGCACCTGTGGCTCAAGCGGGTAAGGCGCCAGCCACATACACCTAAGGTGGTGGGTTCGAATCCCCAGCCCGGGCCTGCCAAACAACAATGATGGCTGCAACCAAAAAATGGCCAGGTGTTGTGGCGGGCACCTGTAGTCCCAGCTACTTGGGAGCCTGAGGCAGGAGACTCGCTTGAGCCCAGGAGTTGGAGGTTACTGTGAGCATGATGCCATGGCACTCTACCCAGGGGGATAGCTTGAGGCTCCGTCTCAAAAAAAAAAAAAAAAGAGCCCAGGCTCTGAAGCCAGACTGACCTGCATGCTCCAGAGTCCCCTCACCTTGTGGTCCTGGGCAATTTCAATTTCCTGTCTCTATACCTACCTGACTGGCTCATCACATGCATTAGCTAAGGCAGCACCTTGCCCAAGGCATGGTGCACGTTGGCAGCTGGAGAAAGAGGAAAAGCCCAGGGGCAGACAGACCTGCATTCTCCTAGCTCTGGCTCCCTGGTAGCTGGGTCCTAAGTTGGTGGCTTGGCCTCTCAGAAGTTGTGTTTTCTCACCTACAGAGAGGGTGGCCCAGAGTATGTGGTTTCCAGACACTAGGTCATTTTGGGGTTGCAGCAGGGCTGGCTGGAGGGGGAGGTTCCCTGCCTCTGTGGCCTGCAGGGTCAAGATATGCAGTAGATGCCACCTCAGCAGCCCTGACTTAGGCTCTAGGGAGCTGGCTGGCCTGATCCTGCCATGGGCTCAGGGCACACTCAGAGCAGTGTCCACCCCCATGCAATTTGCCTGCTATGGGAAGAAATGTTCTCTCACAATATGCTTTCTGTTTTTAAGATATTATATCTCAGGTTGTAGATTTTTTCACCTAAAAAAAGTTTTTTGCCGATTATTTCTGAAACAGAGCATTTCCAAAATCCCTGGGCAGTTAAGGCCTCTGGGACTCACAGGCTGATGTTAGCCCCTTGATTGTCCTGTGCCCAGCCTTAAGGCATTAGCAGCACAGTCCACGCCAGCTGCCCCCCACCCCACCTGCCACGGTGCACTTCTCAGGGGCTGCCTAGCCCCTCACCCCCCCAGCACAGGTTAGGCCTTCACGAAGGGAGCACAATTGAGGCCACCCACAAAGCTGTGAGAGGTAAGAGGGATGGCGCAAATGGAAAGAAAGGTCACTGCCTGGCCTCTCACATGGAGATGCCAAAGCCTGGCAGGAAGAGTGGCTAGCTGCACAGCCAGGACATGACTTTACCTCTTGAACCTGAAATTTCCTTGTCTGTCTCCTGTGGTGTGTGGTGGATGATATAGTTCCTACCCTGACGAGGTCATTGACCTGCCATAGCCAGGGTCTACAGACTGAAGGTATTCCCTAAGTGAGAGCGGCCCTGGTCCTGTGGGGGAGATAGATGTAGACAGAGAGTGGTTAGCTTCTACTGTGACATGGGGGGGTCTTTGGGCAGAGATTGGAGAGAGGATGGCATTTATGCTGACCTCGAAGAGTCAGACGGGGTGAGACTTCTGAGGAGGTGGTGGAGGGCTGAAGAGGTTCCAGGCAGTGGGGATATGTGGGAAGGGCCCCAAACAGAAGCGCACAGTGTCTATAGGGAACAGAGGGCTGTTTGGTGTGGCCTGGGGATAGGTGCCAAGCAGAGAGCAAATGTAGTTGGCTGGAGGGGAACCAAGTCAGCTTAGGGATTCTGGGGCTCTCTATGCCCACAGAGCAATCTCTACTTTTCTACCTGGCACAATACACCCTTTCCTGTAGGCTATACCCTCCAAAGCCACAGACTGGGCCAGAGCTGGGCAAGCTCCTTGCTCTGGACAGGAGCAGGAATATGCACCATCAAGAGAAGTCATCTACTTGGCCTAAGCCACACAGGCCTCAGTGCTATGTGATTGGGAATAACCACAAAATTCTGTTCCCCTCCACAGATGACTCTGGGGACGACGAAGACACTGCTTCCCCAGCTGACAAGAGCGAGCTGCACCAAACCCTGAAGAACCTCTCCTTGAAGTTAGATGACCTCAGCACATGCAATGATCTCATCGCTAAGCACGGCGCCGCACTCCAGCGCTCCCTCAATGAGCTAGACAGCCTGAAGATCCCACCCGAGAGTGGGGAGAAGCTGAAGGCAGTGAACGAGCGGGCCACCCTCTTCCGTATCACATCTAATGCTATGATCAACGTGAGTACCTGCCTCTACCCTATCATGGAGCTTTCTGGAACTTGCAATATTGTCCCCGAGTGGGTGACCAGAGGTGCTTAACACAGGCCAAGGCCCCATTTCCTGTGGCTCCAAGTCATTTCCCAAGGCAAGCACCCCCTGCACTTCCCAGGATTCTCTGTATCATCTCATCCACACAGCCATTTCTGGGCAAAGACATTATTTTTAACCATTTAGTGGAAGCTGGAATTGAGTATGGAATCTGCCACAGGCTGCAGGTGGTTGGTGCCTGGGTGAAAGTCAGGGCCCCACACAGCAGGGATACAGCTACCACACTGGGCCTCCCAGCCTGGGTACAGCCCACAGACACAGCAGGATCAGGACCCACGTATGCACCAGGGGAGGCGGTGGGTTGCCTCAGCCAGAAGAGCCTCAGAACTGAATCTGCTGGGATTGTACCAACCTGAAAGCAGATGAAGCCACTAACCACAGCTATGAACTGTATGGCCCAGCCTTGGGAGTGAGCCACTTTCCCTGAGTTCTGGAGGCCACGTTGCTGTGACTGGGAGCCAGGAAGGTCCCTTGATGGTGGCAGGTCTAGAGTTTGTGCTTCTGGGCTCTTCCTCTTCCTGCCTGGTGAGTGCTCCCACTCTAGGCTTCCACCTCCACATACAGGTCTGATTGCAACAGCCTTCTCCCATGGGCCAAGAGTGCCCAGCTACAGCTTCAGGGATCCCCACTCTAGGGCCTGAAGCTTAGCAAGAGGCAACTTCTTCCCACACTGCTAAGAAACTTGGCCTGCAGGTGCCTCCCATCTGAGCTCAGGTGTGTGTGCCGTTGTCTGTCCCCAGATTCTACTGTGCCCAGGGGATGGTTGGCCCATGTGGCCGCTGCAGAGAGACCGTTGGCCATGGTGCGTCTGCCCCTGTCACTGTCTACGCTCCATTTTCCTACATCAGCTCTCTCTGGCCCACTGTCCTCTTTATAGCCACAGACCCTGCGGGTCCAGGCCCCTGTACTCCTACCAGTGACACAGGCGAATCTAAAGCTTGTAATAACACAATGAGACATTTGTGTCTCCCTGGCCATCCCAGAAGCCACTGCCTGCCTGCCTGTGGCTTCCCTAGAATGGCTGCCCATCCAAGACCAAAGCTGGTTTGTCTTAAGCAATTTTGGCTTTTCCAAGCCAAATTTGATGATGATGATGACTGGCTTAGTGGCTGCAGTCTTGCAGTCTGTTGTCAGGCATCATAGGCTCATCTGTGTTGGTGAAGCTGTAAAAGCATTGAATTGCTATGTGGGCAGCACAGTCCCCTGAGTTGATCACAAGGCCTGTTTCCGGTCCTGGCACCAGGGGAACATGTGTCAGAGTCAGGCCTGAGTGACAGGAGCTGTGCCCCTGCCTAGGCTCTGCCAGAGGTACTGGTGAGACCCTGACAGGAAGGCCACCTCCCAAGCTCTTTCTGTTAAAACAGAAGGGAGGACAGGAGTGAGGTGCTGCCTGACAGCTGTGCTTGCAGCCCAGGGGTCAGTGTGTCTCTAGGGAGCCTTCACCACAGCTGTTCTTCACCTCAGGAACTGGCTCAGTTCTGGGAGGCCTGTTTGCACAGCTTTCAGATACCAAGTGTCCAAAGCCCCACTGTGTCAGAGAGGCCACATAGGCAAAGCCAGCTGCTTGCCTAAAGGTCATGGGACATAGGCGTCTCCACCCCTGGCCAGCCAGATCTCCATTTCCATGCCTATTGTAAGGAAGGGATCAGACCAAGAATCTGTACAGCCATGCTGCTGCTGCCCCAACCCCCCAGGGAGCCTGAACAGGTTCCAGACCACCTACCCTCCCAACAACCATATTAGTGCCATTAGATATCGTTAGTGCCAAAGTGGAAACTGAGGCTCAGAGTCACCTGATCTGCTCAGTGTTGCCCAGCTGGTGAGTAGCCAAGCTGGGATGCAAACCCAGGTCTGCATGGCCTGCCAGGAGAGTGATGGCCCCATACCCTCCAAGCAGGAGGGCCCTGGGCAAGCAGCATTCTTCCTACATGGACAGGAACCAGCTACTTCATCTTTACTTTTCCCCTAAGATAGCACAGATTGTCCAGCCTTCAGGAGAAGAGTTAGGGGGACAGTTTTTAACCCTTCAAGTCTGGGAAAAAGCATCCATATCATAAGTCTTTAAGTCCCAACCTTCTTCAGGGTAGGGACAGGCCCTCTGGACAATTCCAGAGGACCCAGAAACCCTGGTACAGGCCCATGCATGAACCTCTGCTCCCCAGGGGCGTTACAGCCATCCTCACCTCACATCAATGTGGCCTCTTCCCCCGGTGCTTATTGAAGGTTTCTGGATTGGAAATGTTGAACAACAATTCAGTATCTCACCCTTCTTTGCCTTTGCCAGTGCCATAGCTTCTAGAACACTCCTCCCCCACCCTTAAGATACCTGGTAGACCCTTTTTCATCTTTCAGAACCCCACATGGATGGCACCATAGCCAGGAGGCCCCCCAAGCCCCCTTTGGGTAGTCCTTCCTCAGGACTGCCTCCTCTAGATTTTGTGCTCCCTGAGGTCAGGCTGAGTAGGCTAGTGGGAGTGGTATTTCAAAATGGGTCTCTCCAAAAAACTCAAACACTGTAGGTTTCTCAAACGCTTACATCTGCCTGTGAATTTACCTTCTACTCTTGTTTCCTCACCTGGACAAGGTCATTGAGAAAGCAGAGGCTCTGCACTCAGCACACTGCACCCTTCTTCCAGAGAGACAGAACAGTGCTCTGTGACACTGAACTGTACTGTGCATTTTCCACGTGCAGACTATGCTGGCACCAAACTCATTCCCCCTCTTAATGGCATTTCAGTTGGAAGGTTCTTTCTAGCAGGACTCAGGTACACCTTACAGGCCTGGGAAGGGGCCCTCTGGGGATAGCATCTGAGAACATCAGCAGCCGGGTACTGAACTCAGGGCAACCTTGCCTCTTGGCACAAAGTTAGAGCATTTATCCCAGACCTGAGCAGCTGCTACCTAGGCCCTGTCTAGGCCTGTACCAAGGAGGGACTTGCAGGGAACAGGCAGTCCAGTGACAGACCATCACACATTTGCTCACTGGTGTAATATACTTTGTGAAGATCTACCCAGAGCCACCAGCTCACATGCCCACTTTTTAAGGCTGAGTTTGGAGAGGGCCTACAAAGTCACACTTGTCTAGAGAAGCAGGTCCAGGTGCAGCAGGAGAGCCAAGCTGACTAGGCAAGGCCTGCAGAGGGTCAGCCATAGAGCTAGGCCTAGAGGAAGGATTTCTTACAGGCAGAAGGGAACGGTCACAGGTATTTTTTTTTTCATAAGAAAGAGTTTTACTTTGTTGCCCTCAATAGAATGCCATAGCCTCATAGCTCCCAGCAACCTCAAACTCTTAGACTCAAAGCTATTCTTTTGCCTCAGCCTCCCTTGTAGTTAGGACTACAGGTGTCCACCACAACTCCCAGCTATTTTTTAAGAGACAGGATCTCACTCTTGCTCATGCTAGTCTGAAGCTCCTGAGCTCAGGAAGTCCACCCACCTCGGCCTTGCATAGTGCTGGGATCACAGGTGTGAGCTACTGCACCCAGCCTTACCAGGCCTTTACACACTGCCCAGGATGGGGCCTGTAAGGGTTTGTCTCCAGAGCCCGCTTGTTAGTAATCCCACCTACCTACCCGATTTCTCTTCCTAGGCCACTGCAGACACTTCTCCAGGTATGGTGGGCATGGTCGTTCGGCAAAGCTCTGCTCCCATGTAGGTGGTAGCCTCACTGTCCCACTGCCCTGGAAAGGAGAGTGGATGCCTCCCCTTCCCCTCAGGGGATATGGAGAGACCAGGTTGGCTCTGAGGTTTTTAGCCATGCAGGAGAAATAGAGCAAGGGACACATGCAATTCTTAAGGAGCTCTGGGAGGCCCAGCAGCCTCTCCCAACCTGTTCCCCATAGGCCTACACATCCCTGTCCCCTACCAGCTTGGGCTTCTTTCCAGACTGAAGTGGCCAGTCTCTCAGCCCCTCCACACCTGTCAGCATCTCAGGTGGGCATCATCTCTTCTACAAAGCTCTCCCCACCCTGAAACAAACCCACAGCTGCTCCTGAGCCCCTTCAGAATCCCCCAGTGGGTGTCAGCCTTGCATGCCACCACCTTGCCCTTGTACCTGCCCCCCACCTTGCCCCAGCTACTGAGGACCAGCTGTGAGGGGCTGAGTCCAGTCCTGCCAGCAGAAACCAGGATAGGAGCATGAATGACCTTCCCAGGCACTGTATGGCACAGCAAACATTCCACACACATGATCTCCCCCAACTCAATAGGCTTACCCATGGGAAGACTGAGACTGAGGGGCCCAGGGACTTGCTTAGGGTCATAGTTGCTAAGGATGTGAGCCCAGGTCTCCCTGGCTCCATACAGCCTACTGCAGAAGGTGGAGACATAAACCTGTCACTTCCCTTGATCAGGGCAGGAGACCAGGAACACCTCTCCTGCCCCCTAATCCTCACCCCGCCACCTTGACCAGTCCCCATCTGCAGTCCTACAGCATCTCTTGGACTTTTCTCCTGCAACAACTTGATGCATCTTCCCTGAAAGGGCAGGACAGAGTTCCCCTTACAATCCCAGCTGCCCTGTAGCCTCCGTTCTTTTTTTTTTTTTTTAGACGGAGCCTCAAGCTATCCCCCCCTGGGTAGAGTGTTATGGCATCACAGCTCACAGCAACCTCCAAACCCTGGGCTCAAGCGAGTCTCCTGCCTCAGCCTCCCAAGTAGCTGGGACTACAGGCACCCGCCACAATGCCCGGCCATTTTTTGGTTGCAGCCATCATTGTTGTTTGGCAGGCCTGGGCTGGAGATTCGAACCCGCCACCTTAGGTGTATGTGGCTGGCGCCTTAGCCGCTTGAGCCACAGGCGCCGAGCCGTAGCCTCCATTCTTGGCACAGAGCCCAGCTCTGGGGAGCCTTAGCAAATGAGAGAAAGAGAATTGTGACAAAACACAGGAGCAAATGAATGAATCACTTGGT